TAGCTGGGCTACATGTAACCAACAATCATTAGGCAAAGGGTTAACACATTGCACGCTGATGCCAATTTTGTTCATATTTATTTTATCTGTAGGGGCTTCAGCAGGTGATATGTCCATTGCTGGTCTTATGCTTTTTGTGATTAGCAAACACGCATGACACAGTAATACTCACCCATCAGGTGGAACAAGACATACAGCAGCCATCAGCTTGACAGCATCAATCATGGTTCCTTCATGTGTTGGATCCACCGATCTCGCCAGATTTATCAGACCATCCTCTTCCGCAAACATTGTCTGGATACCAAACTTATTATTCATAAACGCTCTAAGACATCGTATGCATTCATGTTGAATCTCGGGATGCAGCTTACCAGAGCTGTGTGGATAATGGACACCAGGTACAATTTATTATAAACCTCATAACTGAAAATAAGTACTCACATGTAGTAAATTATTATATGTCTAACTTGTGACGAAACACGGCAGATCAAAAACCTATATCACCACTGTGTTACATTACATACTGGCAAACTTTTTTTCATTGTAACACAGCCGATAGTTGTTGGGTAATTATGGATTGTATAACAATGGTTCATTTTGGCAAGCTCATGTGCGTACTTATTATTCAGCCGTCCCCCAAAAAACGATTGAAATTTAAAAAAATCCTTTAGGATTTAAAGCAAATATATCAAACGAGTAGAATCTCCACACACCATATGCAAGACATTCGCGGTAATCACTCATATCTGCTGATGTCGATCTACAGGAAAATACTTTGGGATTATATATAAATAGCGCCAACTGGAGACACAATGAGAAGTGATTTAAACAATTTGCGTCATTTTGTGATGGGATGAATCACAGAAAATTAGTAATTTGTGTAGTAGTGTACATTTATGACACATTTCTACAAAATGTTAATATTATTAATGTTACCAAATCATGAAAATTTCAAAACAGTGACGAAAAAAAAATAACAATTTAGACAATGCCCCAAAAGAAAACTTTGATGTTGCTGGAGGTTCATAAAAGTTCACCTTGGCATTAAATCATGGGTAAAACAAGTTAAGACAAATATTGAAATATGACATTAAAATTAAAATTTGTTGAGGGTCCCACGCAGCATTTTCCAAATAAAATTCAATTGTGGCGCTTCAATAAAATTAATTCTTAACTGGCAATAATGTTTTTGGACCATTTGAAAGTTGTGCAATCAAAGGCAGTGTTCAAAAAAGACAACAAACTGGCTCTACTACAACACAGAGAATCTGCCTGAGACAAACCAATAACTCATTTAGGTCTGGTCAAAAATGTCCTATTTTAATGATCCATTGTACTGTAAATGCATTAATTATTCACTGGGTTTTAATTTCCCTGTTTTTGCTGATAAGTAAAATACACTAAATCTACGTGAACATGTAAAATAACAACAATACTCATTGTTTTCTCAGCAAATTGGTATAAGTAAAACACAGTGCTTATTGCTCAAAACACCAAAATAGTGAAATTAAATGTCAGGAAAAATAAATGGTTTTACAGTACAAAAACAACACACATTTTTGGTTGACATGCACTTCTATTGGATATGTGGTTCTAATTTATATGGTATATCATTTATTAATTATTAATAATTATTAATAATTAATACTTGTCCATTTAACAAATTGGTTTCCATAACAACAAAATCCTTATGTTGTCACTGCAAAATTTAGCAGCATTTAGTCAGCAGAGAGTTAATAAACTTTTAAGTGAAATTCATTATTTTTTTTTATTCTATGTTTGTACTGAAAACACATCAGTAACTTTAATTTAATTTACTTAATGCATGACTGTCACGTAATGAGTCAAATTGAGAAAACAGGAATTGTTGATACTTATAATAAAGACATCATGGATTGAAAAGAATAGGTAAATTGAGGTTAACCGCACCCAAATAACCTCTAGATACAGAATATGTATGGGTAAGATGACTTTTGTGTTTAGAATAATATTACGTTAGTTCACTGGTTAGAAGTTAAACAATGGTGGTATTGTGAGTGATTGAGTGAGTATTAAGTAACCCACTTTCATTCACAACACCATTTCTGCTGTTCCAACAGAGCTAAAATTAAGACAATTTATCCCAGGTGTTGAATGGAAGTATAGGGTTCAAAATCTAAATGTACAGTTATTGCTGGCATGAGAGTGTAAATTGCACATCACTAGGTTGGCTAGGAATAAATATTGTCAGTAAATCTTTAATGAGCAGATTAGTTCATACTATTACGAATACTATACTGTAAATCCGTACGATAAAGTGAGTGCCGAAATAACAGAGGTGTATTTATGACAATGATCCAGCATTATGTACTTTTTGCTTTATGTGCACTTCTCTTAGAGATGCACTTCTAATACAGCAAATACGATAATTTGAGTTTGTACGTGAATGATTTTGCTCTGGAAATATAATTGAAATAGAACTTTACAACTTGTGTCTGGATTTCAAACACACTCCTGTATTCATTCATTGTTCATTTAAATCAATTAATTAAATCCAACCTGCAAGGTGGCAGTCCCATCATAAACCAGTGTTGTCCCAACAGCATTCAAGTAATGGTCACTGTGCATGGATTTTTTGGGAAACAAATAAACATCTCTTGTGTATGCCAATTACACAAACCTTGAGTCTCCCTGTATTTATTATAATTTTAAATCACCACAGAAATGGTTCAAGTTCAATTTCTCTCCTCACAAAATACCTGGTCGAAAATTATGCTCAATGGATCCAAAATTAACAAAGAAATTCTACAATTTACATAGAAATTTTGCACAAGAGAAAAATTATGATATCCACCAATTGAACTGTCCTTTGCATTTTGCAAGTATGTTCCCAGGTGCAGAGCGAGAGAGGGACAATTTCTACACAACCTGGTCCAAAAAACATTTCTAGAATCTGTCAGTCTGTGGTAAGTAGGTATGTCGATATTATTTTTCTGCAGATGACCCTGTGGAACCCTACCTTTACACCACAAGACAGGTATATTCACAAGAAACTTAAGACTTACTATTCATAACAATCTCTGAGTATTTTCAACACAAGTTTTAAACCGGTTCTACCAAACTGCTGTACCCAGCTTATTGTGTTATTAGTCAATGATATCCTCAGTGATTCCAGCATGTGTAGTAAGTGATCTCCTTTAATTCCACTTTTCAGTTCTTGTATATAGTCACTAGGTTTCAGTGTTGTGCTGTCTCGTCTCTGTGTAGTCAAGAAAAAAAAAACAAAAAAACATGCTGGTTGATAAATTGCTGGGTTTTCTCAAGATTTATTTTGAGTTTTAAAGCGGGAGGGTTGTCACCTGTGCACAGGTGGGAATTGAGTCCCAAGCGACGATAACAACACATGCTGAGAACGCAAAGGCTCATGGATACACGCTATGACCACCTGACGCATGCATAGGTGACGACTCCCCCGCTTTAAGGAAGATGATAAATGAGTGGCAACATTTTATTCATTTTGAGATATTTATTAAATGTTGAAAACAAATTTCAATTTAGTACACACAGGAGAAGCCAAGCATGATAACAATGTTTGCATTGAACATCTAGAAAAGCAATACATGTATGAGGAATATATGACTGATTCAGGTAGTGCAGTGTTGTAGAAGGAAAAATATCCATGTTAGTCTTAGGAACGCGAGGTAATGATCGAGAGGGACTGATGGGGGCATTCGTATTGCGGTGTTAAGTTTGAACTTCTGAATGCTACCGGTATATCCATTTCCGACCATTGAGAAGCAACATTTTACACATTTTTACGTATTTTTCAATACTTTCTTTGGTCTTGATGAAAATCAACGAGTAAATTTGGAAAAAAATTATTAAGTTTATTTAAGTGGAAGGTGACAAAAGATGACTTCGATATTTATAGGGTTAATTGCAGTGGATTTGTTGCTTTGCACCATGTTTGCACTAATGAATTAAACGATCTACAAATAAGCAGAAATAACACCTAGCTAATAATTAACTTTATACAGAATTATATTAATCCCTTAATCTCAGGCTTGTTCTGGAAAGCTTAATTCCATTGTTTTCAGTGTGAGATGTACATGTATATCCGTGGGTAATAACATATTCCACGTATTACAAATTAAACTTAATTTTCATTTTCTCTAAATACTGAAATACAATTAATAAGTTCTTGACTCTAGAGGGCTATACACAAACATATTTCCACAAATTTTCTTTACAATGCCTGGCAAACTATATGATGCCACACCCACTTGCTCTGCGCATGTCTCAATTTCATGTAAAACCAGCAATTTATGTAATTTATTTATGATGTATGAGCAGGACTTTTAAACTCATTTGTCCAAAATGTATGTTTCCTATATATTTACTACCGGTATTTTCTCTGCTACATGTATGTGAGTTACTATTCAGTTCTTCAAGTAAAAATTGTACTTGTCCCAGGCTATAAGACTATCGATAATGTCTAGCCTTAATGTCACATGGGACCCATAGCAAAAAGACAGCCTGACAACGCATGCCCTGCATGTCATTTTAGGTGAGAGAGTTTGATTATCAACTGTCAAAATTAAGCAAGAAATGTGACTGTTCTAGATATAATTTTGTGCTTCAATAAACACATCAATTAGAGAAGCAATTCACGACATGACTAATAATCATGACTAATATGTTAATAAATCAAACACATAATATTCTAAGCAACAAAACAGAATATTAATCTCAGTTAATACATCTGTGTTTCCATACATTACCTTTTTCTTAATTCAATAAGGCATTAAATTTGTAGGAAATTAAAGGAAATTCATTCTGAGATGCACTGCGATCCTTCTATTCAAACTACATACTTCCAAAATAAATATATAAATAAATAAATCACTATACTTTCCGCAGTAGTCTAGAAGCAAACAAATCAGGTATTCTGTGTAGCGAACTGGTTTGAGCATATGTGGAGTTATTCAATAGATTTAGTGAAACGAGTTTTTGCAATTTGACAAAATTTATAAGGAAGGAAATAAAGGTCATGTGTCTCCCATGTATAAAAGATACAAAATGATAATGTAAAAAAATTACACCTATTCGAAAAATCTAATTGTTTTGCAGATTTTGGTAATTTAATTACTTCTAAAATTTTGACTGATCACAGAATTTCGTTTATCTCAGATTTTATTTTTTTGGACCAATGATTAGACTGCAATTTAGGCTTTAATTAATGAAAAAAAAAATGTTACATGATTTTAGGGACACATGAGTTTATAATAATTATGCAGAAAGACGGACTGTTGAAATAGCTGTACTGTAAAATGACTAATTTTCACTGGGTTTAAATTTCACTGATTTACCATTTCAGGCATATTCAGTGGGTTTTAAATTCACGGTTTTATCATTTAGATAATATATTTTATGCTAAATTTTACATATTCACTGGGTTTTAATTTAGCGCATTTTCCAGTCAGCGAAATAAGCCAAATTAAAACCCAGTGAATAATTAACCATTTTACAGTATGTCATTTTACCAAGTTTAGATTAATTCTTAATTTTAGCTGTTTATTTATTTACTTGAACAATACCATTGGACAAATTTATAAAGTTATCAAAATATCAATTTGTTTCCAAAATATATGTTTTTT